ATGGCCTGGTACTTCTTGATCTTGCGTTGTTCCGCCTGCGACGCCGCGTAGAGGTTGACTTTGGCGGCCTGTGGTTGGTATGAGCTGGCCGCGGGGGCGGCAAACACGAGGTGTGTGTGTGTGTGTGTGTGTGTGTGTGTGTGTGTGTGTGTGTGTGTGTGTGTGTGTGTGTGTGTGTGTGTGTGTGTGTGTGTGTGTGTGTGTGTGTGTGTGTCCCTGTGGGTGTGGGTGTGTGTCTGTGTGTGGGTGTATTTGTGGGTGTTTGCGAAGGATTTGGCCCTGCTTGGATGCACGCCAATGTTGTTGAAGTTCACCTCACATCTGCTTCCTCCCCTGGATGCCCATATCCAACACCACCACCGCAACCCACCACACAAACCCACCACACTGCATCCACCATCACAGCGTGTCATCTCCACCTTGCGCAGCCACTCGCAAGACATGGGCGTGGAGCCGTCACACGACCAACAAGCTGTGCAATGACACGGCTTGCTCGCCCACACGCTCGCATGCACACCTGCACACCTGCACACGCATACACATGCGCACGTTGCTCCTCGTCTAATTAACCTCTGTTTTCCCGCCTCCCCTTTCCCCTTGACGTGGCTTCGTTTTGAACAACACGCTGTACAGTTCATTCAACCACTGTTAACAATAACTCTCTCGATTGTCATAAGCAATACACCAACAAAGCAAACGGGACAAAAGCAGCAAAGAAGCATGTCACAAGGAAAGCCCCGTGATGAGCAAGAGAAGGAAGATGGAGCGTGCACGTGGGCACACACGCGCGTGTTTACTCGATGCCAAAGCCAATGGAGTTCTCCACAGCCTGCAGCAGCTTTGTTTCCATCTGAGCATGTGTTGCGCGAGCAGCAGTTGACAGGGAAGCGGAAGGGAGCAGGCGTGAGACGGCAGCTGGTGGAATGGTGGTTGTGCGAAACATTGTGGCCAGCAAGCGTTCGCACGCACGCAAATATATCACATTACACAAACATACACAAACAAGAGCACGCACGCACGCACACACACACACACACACACACACACACACACACACACACACACACACACACACACACACACACACACAAGAGCACGCACGTCATCAAATGTCTGGTAGAGGGGCAGGTCGATGCGATTGAAGCACGTATGCGCTTTCGGCAGCGATGTGCAGCTGGCAGAGGGCACAATCTCGATCGTAAACTTCTTCGGGCCTTGTGAGCCCTGATGGCGCAAAACAATAATCATAACCGCAACGGTAGAAACCAAACAAATCAAAGTAACGTGAGCTAACGATGAAGAGAGGTGAAAGCTTGCCAATGTGGACTACACTTACACTTCCAATTCCCCAACTCCTCCCAACAACACACAGACACACAGACACACACACACACACACACACACACACACACACACAGATAAACACACACAACACACACAAAGACACACACACGCTCTCTGGCGCGTACCCTGAGGTCCCTGAATCCTGTGACGGGCACGCGTGACGTTCCGGTGACAAACTGCAACACACGCGCACGCATCTCCGCATCAAACGACTCCACAATCTGCCAGAACCACTTGACCTGCAGTACCACAAGCGTGCGCACACACGCGCGTGAGAGTTTCATTGAATTACACGATCAGTAAGCACGGTGCACCGCGTTGCGACGCAACCAAGGCGTAAACCGGCCGCAAACAAGCCCACCACGCCCACGCACGTCCACCCGCGTACGCATGCGCACACGCACGCATACGCACACGCACCACTTGGTGGGAGCTGTCACAGTGCCTGTACTCGGCGTTGTCTGCCCAGTCCTTGACGTCGATGTTGCCCAGACCGCACAGAATAAGCTCCAGCTCGCGCTCGTCAAACATCTCCAGCCATGCAGGCGGCACAATGTCGTTGAAGCCCTCCCGCAGCGCTTGCACCTGGTGTGTGTGTGTGTGTGTGTGTGTGTGTGTGTGTGAGGACAAGTGATGCAGCAATTTCAGTTCGAATACATGCCGATGCTCTCCGCAACAAACACACACATACACACATACATACATACACACAATCAAATACGCACTCACACACACACACAAACAAATACACAAACAAATACACAAACAAATACACAAACAAATACAAACACGCGTGCGCTCTCGGCAACACCCTCTGCCGGCATCCATACCCTCTTTTCTTCCCCTCCCTTTCTTTCCCTCCCTTCTTCCCACTCCTCTTCGCCCGAAACGCAGGGGCAAACCTGCTCTTCAATGCCGCGGAGGAGGCGGTGATGGACAATGAGCTGGACATACTCGCGTTTGTTCTCCTCTGTGACGGGGATGCTGCTCCCACCAGGCTTCAGTTCAACCGTCTCCAGCATGCCAAACGCCTCAAACTCGTCCTCAAACGTGTTGAACAGCACGCCCGTGATGTTGTTCTTCAGCATCCAGCGCAGGCTGTTGAAGAATGTCTCGTCAACCACCTCCATGTCCGACAGGCCAACGTCCTTCCCCAGCAGCAGCTTGTACAGCGACATGACAAACGCGCCGTCCACATAGTGCCCGTGGCACACGGCAAGGCCGAGAACTCGGCCGATGAACTTGAAGTAGGACAGATGGTCTGGGTTGATGGACGAGTTGGGGCTGATCTCCAACAGCTGCGCGTCGCTGCTGGAGTACTGGAACAGCCCGTAGTACGGGTTGAGCATCTGCTTCGACAGGAGGAAGAACCACTCCCTGTTTGCCAGAAGGGCGCCGAACGCGACATTCGTGGTCAGTGAGAGGTCATAGAATGAGACACACGTACGAGCATGTGTGTGTGTGTGTTTGTGTGTGTGTGTGTTTGTTTTTTTTGTGTGTGTTGTGTGTGTGTGTGTGTTGTGTGTGTGTGTGTGTGTGTTGTGTGTGTGTGTGTTGTGTGTGTGTGTGTTAAGCCAGTCCGTGTAATTATGTTATGCCATAATGCATATACGTTCTAATATCTTCTCTACGCCCTGGGGCTTTGTCGTCCTCGGATCCGGGATTGGCACACATCGGGACTCAATTATACCGTGCGAAGTGTGTGTGTGTGTGTGTTGTGTGTGTGTGTGTGTTTTTTGTTTGTGTGTTGTGTGTGTGTGTGTGTTGTGTGTGTGTGTGTGTGTGTTGTGTGTGTGTGTGTTTGTGTGTGTGTGTGTGTGTTAACTGCATGCGTATGTGTTCGTGTATGGGAAATGAATCAAATCTGTGTGCTAATGTACACATGAGGCTGCGTGCCCACCTGGCAACGCCGCCATAGTCAAGAGCGTCTTCGCCAAAGAACGCAATGTTGAGCCGGGCCTGTGGAATGAATGGCAGCGTGACGATGAGCAATCGAAGGATTGGACTCTGACTCAGAGAAAAGTTGTTGCAATACGATACACAACGCATGCGCACAAAGCGGCCCATCACATACACACCAACACACATACACACATACACACACATACACACCAACACACATATGCACACCAACACACACATACACACGCACAAAGAAGCGCACCCTGAGCTGCGGCGGAGTCATGCGCATGATGATGCGAAACGAGTCCTCGAAGATGTTGTCGCGCGAAACACAAATGTCCACCGGCTTGACACGGTGCTGCCCATCAACCACCTCGCCGTAACGCGTTGCGTCCTATGTGCAGAGGACAGGCAAAAAAATAGCAAAGAAGTCATCGCATGAGCAACAACGGAAGAGACGCAAGCAAAACGTCACTGCCCATCACGCACAACACTAACGTGTACACGCACACATTCTGATACATGCCGTGCATGCAAAGAAATGATCACATGCACACACGCACACTACCATGCACACACTCGCACCTTCTGTCTGATGTATGCAAAGAGGTGGCGGAGTTTAAGGAGCTTTCGCCTGAGATCGCGCTTGTATCGCGGAAGCTGCGCCTCGTGCGTCAACGCCTCCTGTCGCCGTCGCTCCTGAACAGCAAGACGCGGGTCCTCGAACTGCACCCGGTGACCGTTAATAGGATATGGTGGTGGGGGATGGTGAGAACGATGAGGATGGAAGGTGGATGGTGGTGTGACCATGATGGCGATAAACCTGCCAGACAGGCGCGGATGCATGCGCTAAAACTCGCATCTGCTCGCATCCACACACGAGCCGCGCCCACATGCACACGAACCCATGCACACACACACACACACACACACACTCTCACTCACTCACTCACACTCACTCACTCACACTCACTCACACACACTCACACATACACTCACACACTCACACATACACACACACACACACACTCACTCACTCACTCATTCACACACACACGCGCACACTCTCACGCACTCACTCACACACACACATACACACACGTGTGGACGTACCGTGGTGGTTCGGTTGATGTGGTCGACGTAGTACACAACACCAGTCGCGGTGAAGCGCTGTTCCCATCCCAGCGGAAACTCGCCCAGCCCTTCCTCCACAACATACTCGCTCCAATGTCTGCACCATAGGCAGTGCACGTAGAGCAATTGCACACGGCAACGCAGTGTCAACAAAGTGTGTCCACGTATTTCTTATAACACTCAGGGCACACACACACACTAATACACACAAATACACAAATACACACATGTACAAAAACAACCAACCTGTGCAGTGGGTTGGGCGACTCCGGTGTGTGGGCGCTGCGCTGTCGTTGCCGTTGACCAGGCGGCGGTGATGGAGGCGGCGGTGTTCGGGCTGGTCGATCGCTGCCATCACCACCACCGATATCTTCGACATCGCTGTCTCGAGTGGCATCGTCGCTGGTGTGAACAGCGCCGCGATTGCCGTCAACCCCTCTGGCCAACTCGCCAGACCCCGCAGTTCCCTCCGCTCCCACTTGCGCCTCTGGTGTTGCTGCAGTCGCTGTCGCTCCTGTTCCAGACGTCGTTGTTGCTGCTCCTGCCGTCATTGCCGTTGTTGGCTGGACGGCACCACTATCCACGTCCACAGGCCCTGCCGCCTGCCGTGCCCTGCTGCTGTGATTGCCCTCCCGCGCTGACACCGCCACTGACAACGATGGTGATGATGAAGCTGTTGTTGCTGGTGGGTGACGACGGGACGGCGAGTGCGGCTGCGGTCGCCTTCGCTGCTGTTGCTGCTGTTGCTGCTGCTGCTGCTCATCAGCGTGAGGCCGTGGTCGTGTCTGCGATGATGTGCGCGGCCGATTCTCGGCGTGCTGCGAACGCGACACCACAGCATCACCGACCCCCGCACTTGCACTCGACTGTTGCTGTTGCCGTTGTTGCCGTTGTTGCTGCTGCTGTTGCCGTTGTAGGCGTGCTGGCGATGTTTCACGTTGCAATGCTGAATCTGCACGCACGTGCAGTCGCGATGAAGGTGCTGCTGACACCTGGCTGTCGTAAGCATGGCGCTGCTGCTGCGCAGAGGTCACTGGAGACCCTTCCCGCTCCCGCACCTGTGGCACACGGGCGGCAGTGCACGTGTGAGTGTGTGTGTGGGGGGGGGACATGTGCATTGTGTATGAGTGTGTGTGTATTGTGAGCAATGAAGTTGTGAAGGCTCGGCACAAAGCATCATACATGCACAAACTTACAAACTTACAAACTTACACACACACAAAACAAACAAACAAAACAAACAAACATGTGGGCGGAGGGAGAAGAGACAGGCACAATGTAACCCTTCCGACACCTTCCCCAGCACACAACCCACAGCAACTGACCTGTCGTGTTGGTGACGATGAAGCAAGAGGTGAGGACGCCGACGGTGTGCGCGACGTGCGTGTGTGTGCGGGCAGCGCAGATGATGACGCGGTGGTGCGGCGCTGGTGGCGTTGGAGATTGCTCGTTGATGCAGGCAGGGATGTGGCATGTGCACTGCCTGCCGTTGCTGTTGTCGTCGTGGTTGAGGCAGCGGCTGTGGAGGCATCGTTGCTGCTTGAGACGCGACGCTGGGTGGAGAGGGAGCCAGAGACTGGCGATATCGACTCGCTCGTTCTGTCACTTGATGCTGTCGCGAGCGTCATGGCCCCGTATCCACGAGGTGTGACCACATCGCTGCTCTCAATCATCTCCATCATCCGCCGCTGATGCTGCCGTGACTGCTGCTGCTGCTGCTGTGCAGGCGTCCTTGCTTCGTCAGGGGCATCGCCACCGCCCCCACTTCGTCGCCCCCTCTCTCTCGAACCGCTGGCCCGTCGGTGCCGTTGTCGCTGCTGTTGCTGTCGTCCCTCGTCCTGCGCATCACGCTCCACCTCCCGCAGGCGTGTCCGAAGTGGGGTGCTCGTGACCGCAGCGTGAATGCTCCGCGGGCTTCCATGTGCACGTGCACCGCCACTCAACTGGCGGTGTTGCCGTTGCTGTTGATGTTGATGTGTTGGCGTTGATTCTCCAGAGGGCAGCACGTCCTCATCTTCAAAGAGATCAGTCGTGCTCTGCAATATAAAATGGGCGTGTGTCATGTGAGTGCGATGGTGCGCGATTGTGTGTGTGTGTGTGTGTGTGTGACCGAAGGAAAGGCACGCCCGCAGCCCCATGCCTCAAAGCTCCCACACTGTCATTCTCACCTCCTCGTCGATGCCTGGGAACCCAAAGCCTTCCTCTGTCAATCAGATGAGCAACAGCAGGCAGCAGCGACATGTGATGAGACAACAGGTCGGCTCGAACAAGACCCATATCGCAACACAGTGTCAACGACGGTTATCATTACTGCGATTACAAACAACGCACACGCACACGCACACACGCACACACACACGCACACACACACAACGCACACAACCACAAACAGCGCACGCACGCACACACGCATGTACACACACAACCACAAACAGCGCACGCACGCACACACGCATGTACACACACAACCAACAACACCAACAACACCAACAACAACAACAACAACAACAACAACAACAACAACAACAACAACAACAATAACAACAACAACAACAACAACAACAATTTTTTTTACAATCTTAAACACATAAAGACTCAGCAACTTTTTTGTTTTTTTTTTTCCTTGTGCTATTGTCTATGTGGTGTATGGTATGAGTTATGAGTACATAAGGAATAATA